GTTCTTGTATTGCTGCCATCAAATCTGCTAAGATGTAGCTTGATTTGCCACCTCTCTTTCCATCTTCTTTCTTTTTTCCTTTTTTTTCTTTTCAGTCCCACTCTTTGACACCAATTTGTTGCATATCTGTTCGTTTGTTAATTTCAGGTATAAATTCTTTCCGAGGAACTTCAGCGATACAAGTCCTTTTTTAATTAAAACTAGTTTATTCTTTCTTGATACAACTTTGCAATACACAGAATTTCCGCCGTCACTTTAAACTTGACTACTTTTATGAACACACGCTATAAATCACAGTGATTCACACACTTAACTTTGCTTGACGTAATTATCTCTCTATATCTATCTATCTCATTCTGATTTATTTGCCGGGCTTATATACTAAAAAAGAGAGCGTCTGGAACAGACTAGAGTTGCCAGAAAGATTCAAGATCCTTCGAGAATCTCATGACGTGTTACCAGATTCACGTGACTTCCGCTGTCGTAACAGTATGCTACAACTGTATGTGTCAGACTTTATGTAATTTCGGTAAGTTTTCACAGGCGATAAGCATGGTTTCATTATGTCAGAGCGAAAAAATGGTGAATTTATATATAATGATTGAAAAGGATCATAGAATATTTAGATGTATGATGATAACATTGTAGAAAGGCGGAGAATAGCGGATTATATTATAACAAGGGTAAAATGGCTAATAAGATGGAAATTAGTTTCTTTGTTATAAGATATAAAAACTGAGAATACTGAGAAATTGAAAGGCTTATGATGGAATATAGTGCAAGTGAATACTGCGAGATTAGAGGGTTTATGAAGAGCATAGCAGCACAGAGTTGTTCAAGGAGAAGCTGTATAGCAAACCTATCTACCAATTATCTGTAAGCTTATCCGTCTGCTTTGGATAACACACATTAAAGGAGCTGGGAATTTCGTGAACATATTTAACCCTCAAAAACACAGGTATGCACAAACTAATTAGTAGTCTGGTGATAAGATATAAGTATGATATTCCGCACGTGTAGTATATGGTTCACGGGTTCATCTGCAAATAGTCAGATCGTAAATGAGTTTCACATTGACAGGAATTATTCTGGAAAAAAAAACGAATCGGACACTTATGTTCCTGATTAAGAGAGTTTAGATACTAAACGATCTGTTAGTGCCGACTTTGGTGTGTCCAAAGTAACCAAGAAAGATCCGTTTATGCCTGCTAATGCTACATTACCATAAATATAAGGGCTCGTTTGTTTGATTTTCGTGCAAAATTT